GGGGATGGATGCTCCCGCTGCGGGGGATGGATGCTCCCGCTGCGGGGATGGATGCTCCCGCTGCCGGGGATGGATGCTCCCGCTGCGGGGATGGATGCTCCCGCTGCGGGGATGGATGCTCCCGCTGCGGGGATGGATGCTCCCGCTGCGGGGATGGATGCTCCCGCTGCCGGGGATGGATGCTCCCGCTGCCCGGGATGCTCCCGCTGCTGTGCCTCGGCAGAGGGCACTCGGCCCTCGGCGCTGCCTGCCGGGCTCCGCCTGCCAAAATTCGCCTCTCAAAGCCGTGGAGCTGGGCAAGGAGCAAGGCCAAAGCGCCTTCGCTTAAAAATCTATGTAAAGAATCTTTTTCGTTTTTAGCATGGCTTAGGTTTGTTGTTCTGTCCTCCCTAAGGCACACAGAGCTCCTTGTCCTTTTAACGCTTGGTTTCTCTGCGTTGTAAAATCCTGCTAACAGGTCGTGCTCCCGGATTGACATCACCTCTCCCTTTCCGTGCTGTAGGAAAATGCTGAGAAGCAGCAACAAGCCCAAAGATGAGAAAGGAGGCCCCGGAGATCCCCTGATCATCCCCCCGAAAGCCGACACCCCCAAGCTGTTCAGGGCTGCCCTGGCGGCCACAGGGAGGATGGGGGGCAAGGGGCCCCTGGGGCGGCTCCGCTGGAGGCTGAAGGAGCTGCAGGCGATGCAGGAGGCGCAGGTCAGCACAGGAGCGTGGCTTTGCTTCCTCGGGTGCCAGGGGTGCTCTCCCCACCGGCTCTGCAATGGTTAAGGTGCCTTCAAGGGCTGAGCTCAGGATGCTGGGGTCTGTCAAAGCTTGGGGTAACCCAGCATCCTGCACAAGCCTTTGGGGGAGTGCCAGTGTCCCACAGGGGTTTGTTTTGCTGTACAAAAGGGAAATACATTACATTTTTGCCTACATGTGCTAAGCCTGAGTCTAATTTCTAGCTAGGCTATAGCCACATATGAATGAATGTCTCTTCTGTCCTGCAGAGACAGAGCCCCTCATAATTCATCAATGTACTGGCAGGGTGTCACAGGGACACCCACAGCCCAGTTGATGTTCCAAAGCTTTCTCCAAATGGTTGGGACAGAGGTTCCTACAGCAGGCAATACCACCTCTGCAAGAACCACTTGCTTTTTGCCATGAGCAGCTGAAAAGGAAAATGGCCCTGTCCTTTCTCTTCCCCCTCCTTTTTTTTTTTTAATTCCAACTGTCTCAACTAAACTTCTAAGGAAAGTTTTGTCTCCACGCAGTCCCTGTTGTTATTCTTCTCAGCATGGAACCAGGCACACTTATCACATCTGGATGTGCAGAGGGAGGGGAAGGAGCTGATAGGGAGTGCAGTGACCTTGAGGCTGGATAAACACCAGGTTGATGCCAGGCATAATTGCATTTCTGCAGTCCTTCAGAGGCATGAGAAGCTTCAAACAATGTTGTGTTTAACATTAATCCGTAACCAGTTAACAGCAGCAGTGAGCAGTGGCACTGAGGGCTCTGAATGAGTGAAAACAAGCCCAGTGCTGAAGGGTGCATGTACTGGGAGCTAACCCCACTAGTGGGTGAGCAGGACCCTGCTAACCTCTGTTCTGGTTTGAAAGCAAAACCAGTGAGAGACCCCAAGTCAGAAAGACAATTCATTAGGAAAAGGGAAAAGAAACAAAATCCATGCAATAATACAAAAGAAAAACAGAGTCAGAACACAACCTGACACCCCTTTGGCCAGCGTGTTGGTAGCAGTCCAAATTGGAGTGGCTGCGTCCTCCTGGAGTGGCAGATGTGGTTCTGTTGGAGCAGTGATCCTGTAGAAGGGTGTAGCCTTCCCACAGGTTTCCAAGAGGAACATCTGGGGAGCTCCACTGGACCTTCAGAACCTCCCTGTCCATGGCACATCCCTGGGGCAGGCTTCTGAGGCTCCTCTCTAAAGGAGGCCAGGGCAGCCTGGCACTGCTCACAGCAGCTCTAGTGCCAGGTTTGGCCAAGACCAGCCCCTCCAGAAGCTTCAGGAGCAAAACAAGAGTTAGTGCAGATGTGAGAGAGCTCTGTTGTGCTCCTCTCTCTGTGCTTCTCAAGACATGCAGGATAAAATCCAGCAGCCCCTCTTGCAGGGAGCATCCCTGACCTCAAGCTGACATCCCAAAGCAGAGATCCTGTGGTGGAACCACAGAACTCCTGTCCAGCTTTGCCATGTTAGGGATAGTGGGCAAGGATCTGCTAAGGTTGTTTTTGCCTTTTTTTTTAACTTTTTATTGCAGGGTTCCAGTGTCAGCCCAACACCACCAAAATCACCAGTGCACCACAGATCGCCTGTCACAGCCCACAGAGCACAAACACGCCTGGGAGAGGAAATATCCTCAGAATCTCCTGATCATTCAGTCACCATTCGTGTGATTTCCACAGCAAAAGAAGATGAGGAAATCCTTGCTGCTGAGATTTCAGAGAAAGATGAAAAAAAAGAAGAGCAATGAAAGATCAGCAGGTCCCGGGGCAGGCGTAGGAGTCAGGCAAATGCCTGGGCTAGCAGATTTTTCTTGTTAATGATTTCCATGCAGTGGCTGTAGGCTTTGCTATGTGCTGTGGGTAGGATCTGCCTCTCTCTTCTGCCCAGACCCTCAATCACTGCTGATAAAACCCTCTGCTATTTGACCCAGAACCATATAAGGTTTCTCTGCTCTGCAGATCTATTGAGCACCTTTATGAATTTCCCACTAAATCTCAGGTCAGCCTCCTTGTTTTGAAATCCAGCCTTGTGGAAGGAGAGCTACGGAAAAATTGCTTTTTATGGCTCTGGATGGTTAATGAGTGTTCAGACAAAGCATGAAGAGTTATTCACCTCTGACAGCTGAGTCACTGCTTGGCTAGAAACAACCAAGGGAAAAAAAAACAACAAGGTTTCTGTGTTGGGCTCAAGGTTGACAGCAGCAGTGGGGAGTGATTCATCTGAAAAGGATGTGGACTATGCTCACAGGCCAAGCATGGAGCAAATCAAGCTGTCATGAGAGTGCCAAGCTCTGTCCCCAAGTGCACAGACTGCAAGATGCTTGAGGATCCCCTCATGGTGCCAAGACCACCTTGGCTTTGCCACTGGGAAGAATTCTTGCCAGCTGCCCACTCTGGGAAGGTTGTGGACTCTCCATTAATGGGGTTTCTTATGGGGAGATTTGATGAGCATCTTTCAAGGATAGAGAAGCACAATCCTGGATGAGAGGTTCCTGGAGTTCTTTTCCAACACTGGGATTTGTCTGTGCTGCCACTGCTGGGAGGGATAAACAGAGAGCAGGAAGGGAGAAGCTGGGTTGGTTCCTAGCTGGGAGGGGAAAGAGAAGTGCAATAGGTGTTCTCATTTCCCAAACATTGTTTCAGAGCCTGTAACATGCCAGCACGTGTGCACAAGCTTGCAGGTGCTCCCCTGCACTCATTGCTGGACCTCAGTGACATCCACATTTCCAGCAAGCAACTTCCAGCCCTTCAGCCACTTCAGACTGGCTCTTGGCCACATTTCACACAGAGACAAAAGCCACTCTGGTCCTGCTCATCACTGGAGTCATGAAGTCACTCTCCCAGCTGTGCTGGGACCGGGTGCTGGAGGGGAAGGCAAACATCAGGTCAGCAGCCAGCACCCAGCTGATGGCTCAAGGTGTCCCATCCTCTTCCAGCACCACCAGCTCCTTCCTCATCCTCCTCAAAGCCAGCACCCAGCAGAGCGAGCTGCTGGTGAGCTGAGAAGAGGTGAGAAGCAGTGCATGGATGAGGTTTTGCAGATCCTCCCCAGGTTTTTGGCTGTCCGTGTTCCCACAGCACCACTGGCTCCGTCGAGAGGAGCCACTCGCCGCCCTGTGGAGGAAAAGCTGGGGCAGGTTTTGCTGCAGGGAGCAGCCCTGTCACCGTGGCCAAGGGACTTCTCAGGTGTTCAGAAATGCAGTGAGCAGTGCTGCAGGTTCCACAGGTCTGGCTGTGGCACAGTGAAGGGTGGCAGTGCTGGTGTCACCCCCTGGGTGATCCCTCTTCCCATCAGCAGCACGGGGCTGACCTTCACCTCCTTTGGGATCTTCTTTTGTTGCTTTTCCCCTCCTCTCTTGCAAAATGTATGAGTTTCTGTGGCAGAAAATAAAGCCAGAATAGATGTTAGCATTAGCTAATAATGTCTTGCTTTCTTTTTAAACAAATTTAATGAGCTCCACTGCACTGCAGGAGGGTCTGAAGCCATCACACTGCAGGGGAGAGCCTGCACTCACCCAGACTTCCCTGAAAATTTCTTATCCTCAGTCATTTGCAAGTGGTTTCCTCCCAGGTAGAAGATTTTGGTAGGGAGTGCAAAGTTTGGGATTTTTTGCACTCTTTAAATAAATATTTATATAGTGAAACCAGGAAAGATGCAAAAATCAAACTGGAGCTCTTATTTACTTCTATGATTTAATATTCTTTAGAAAAAGTGTTTAAATAAACAGCGGGCTGTAATTGCTCTCATAATTCACTGCATCTACAATAAACACCATGTAGATTACCATTTATTTGGTGTGGATTTATTTCAACATTCCAGCTGTTTTTCAACTTCTTGCTCACTCATGCGCTGACAGCCAGAAAATCCTCACATGCAGTTCATATTATTTCCCAATAAATAATTGAGAGGCTCAGAGGTCACATAATACTGGTGGTAGAAATGTAATTTGCTTTTAATCACCAATAGGAGGGAAAAAAATCTTAAATAGCAAAGATTGCTTGAAGACCTTAGTTTTCAACATACAGCATGAGATGCTGATGGATACACAACTGGTAATTCTGGAACCATAGGGAGATCTGAAATTATCCTTCTCTGTGATCTGTTTATGGCTTTAGTTCTTTGGAGAGATTATTCTCCAGGTAATAATTAAGGTCAAGGTAGGGCTAGACTTGCAGGCTGGGCTGGGGAGTTGAGCTCAGGTCTGTTTGCTCTGCAGGACTATTTAGAGATAACAGAGGACAGAGACTTTAGTGCCTCATGTTTTGGGGGTTGCCATGGCTTGGCTTTCTTCTGTTGAACTTTTAAATTCCACTCATTTACCAGTTTTGCTGTATTTGCAATGGGCTCCATTTGCATTGGTTCCAATAAATATCTTGCAGAGGGCACTCATCACTGGGTGTTCCTTCCACTGCCCTCGGAACATTCCTGATGGATTTGGTAACACTCCATGTACCTTTACTGCATTTCTCACTAGCTTTGATCATTCCTCTGGATGTCCTTAAGTGCTGGGTCAATCTGATATGAGATCCTCTCTCATATTCATGCAGTACTTGGGGAATCTTGATGGGCAGCTGCTTATTGCCATAGAAACCAGGTCCTCTTGCAGTGATATTTTAGCTGCTGCTGCTTTTTAGTGAAATAAGTGGAATAGAGAAGTGCTGGAGGAAGAAGCAGAGCTTGTCTTTGAAGCTGTAGGAATGTGGTGGGTTTTGCTTCACTGTCACCAGTAGCATCTTTACTGGAGGCTTTGTATACACTGTTTATATTTTTATATATGTAATTTTTTTATACTGGGGATGTATTCATATTCCTTGTGGCCCATGTCTTTCAGAGAACTGATAGTGATTCAGTGTTCTGTAGGAAGTTAAAGAAGACAAATATCTCTCATTAGAAAAATCAGCTGACAAAAAGAATAGTATAACCCACCACAGACATCTGGCAGTGGAGGAAGTTGTTTTCCCCTGGACAGAAACAGGGCAGGTAGCTTCTCTGTATTTATAGCCAGAGAAATCTTTTAAAAAGATTAAGTGCAATTGCAGGTTAATCACTGATAAGGTTGTAATGAAAGTAAAAGCAAATAAGCAGGTTTGGGGATTAGACTCAGGTCCAGAAAGAAATTGCAGGATAAATGGAAAGCCCAGTTAAATGGTGTTTAATTAGGAAGCTTGAAATAAAATTAAGTACTTCAACCTTGAAACCTGCAGACATTAACCAGCAGGACACACTCCTAGTTCTGGGAACAGTCTGTAACCCACTTTTTCTATCTATATATATTTTTTCCTTTGGGTAGCTCTGCTTTGAGTGACACTTGCATATAAATCTGTCTGAATCCCTTTTATCTTTCCCTAAAATCGAGCTAATCCAAGTCTGGTTTTCTCTGCTCTGAGCATGAAGCTCCTTTTAAGTGCAGCAATGGTCCCACTGGAGTTAACACCCTGAAAAAACACCAGACCACCTTTTGGAAAGGGGCCACACAGAGGTTCACAAACCTTTTGGTGCCCATGACAGCTCTTGTTAGCAGCAGCTTAGGCTGAGCTCAGGCTCAGTGACCTTTGCTTTTCTCATTTTTTCCTCATTTACCTGTTCTGGTTTTGGGATGAAACTTGCCCACTTTGGTTCATGCCCTTGGGTGAATGTCTAAGGGAGATCTGTGCCCTATCAGTGAGCTGGGTTTGATCATCTGAAGAACTGAAGCCTAGAAACCTGCATTCTGCCATGCAGTTTTCCCTGCTTTTAGAAGTCACTTGATGCATGAGAAGAGCTGGAAGTCAAACAGTTAAAGTCACAAAACCGTTTTCTTCGATAAACTGGAAGAAATTTGAGAAGAAATGTAAACAACCGGAGAAGCGAGCTAAATCAGGCTGTGGGATGCTGGGAGCACCCCTGCCAGCTCTGGGCTGTGACATCCTGGGGACAACCAGCGCGGCCCAAATTGCTTCACGCGGTTTGCAGATGCTCATTGCGCACACCTGAGCTCAGCGGGACCATCAGCGCTCCCTCCCCAGCTTCGTTTGCCAGAAGCGGTGGGGAGGGCTGGCCGTGCCTCCCTCCCGCGGTGGGGCTGGGGGAGCACCCAGGGCATCCCGGAGCCCCCCGTGCAGGAGCCGGCAGCATCGCGCGGGCGCTCCGAATTTGCCCCACGGTGAGCATCACATCAGCTGCCCCGCGATGCTGTGCCGTAGCAATAACCAGAGGAATGAAGACCAGCCAGACCAGTTACTCCTTCTCGCTAAGAGGCTCTTTTGTGCTGCAGAAATGCCAATATCACGTGCAGATCCCTCCGCTGCCATGGTTACTGGCCCCCGTCAGAGAGGCGGCTGTGGCACTGACGGGGCTGCTGCTCTTCCCTTCGCGGGGGAAACCCCACAAAACCCATAAAACCTGCATTCTGCCCCCAAAAAGGAGGGGAGGTGGCTGCAGGGAGCCCTATCCACACCTGGCATCGCGATGATCCGAGCTTGTGGCAGGCTCTGCCCTGCCGCTGGGCTTTACGCCCCGGGTTTTCTAAATTCCTCGCTAATAGCCTGAGATATTACTAAAAAATGAGAAAACAGTGCTGCGGCTTGGGTGGGCAGAGATCAGCTATGCCCCATTTCCTGTTTTTCTGGCATTAGGAACAGCTTGACCTCTTGGCACTCTTGCTTTTTGCACTAATGCTCTTCTCATTAAAGTGCTTTCCTGAACACTAATTAGGGCGGTTTTCCTTTTGTAAATTAGCCCGATACGATCTGTGTGTCTTGGCACACAGACGCCCTCCGAGCAGGAACCCAGGGCTTTGCGTTTGATCGCTGTTTATTTTGCAAATCTCCCCAGTTTCAATGTTCTTAACTGCCTTCTAGAAAGTGCTGGCAGGTGGAGATTAATGGGAGGGAAATGGACCTTTCCAGCTGGCCTGCCTTGAGAAACAGGAGATTTTTTGGTGCTACAGGGGCCTTGCAGTTGCTGTGGGTTAATGGGGTGCTGTGGATACACAGAAGCTCCTTCCTGTCCCATCTTGACATCCTTGCATAGTGTGCAATGGAGGAGCACGGCTGCAAGGAGAGGCACTGCCTCAACCAACCTCTTAACAGGTAATAGAAAAAAGAAAATCAAATTAACACATTAATTTCCTGCAGTTAAAGCACTTCTTGTGGCCATAGGAAATGCTCAGAACCAAGCAACCCCAAACCCATCTAAAACTGGATGTCTGTGGCCAGAGGGAAGTCCACCTGTCTGCTGCTGCCCCCAGGTCAGTGGTGTCAGCAGTTTGCTGGGGACCAATGGTGCTCGGGAGGGGATGGGCTTTAATCAGCTCTCATTTTCCTAATGCACTGGCAGATGGGAGCAGAGGGGACAGCGCTGTCTCTGAATCTGCCACGGATGGGACACAGCCACGAGAGATGGGCTGAGAAATTCAGTGGGGAAGGCAACACTGGGTGCAGAAGCCATCCTCTGGCTTGCTGGGGAGGCTGGAGTGAGGGGAGCATCCCTGGGGAGTCCCACCACCCTGTCTCTGCACCAGCACTGGGACCTTCTGGGGTCCATCTAGAACACGTTAGGGACCATCTTTACAACAGCATTTCCTGGTCCATAATCAGGGAAGAGGAGAACTGCAGGGGGACTTCACTCAGGGACCCCTGAGGCTGGGAGAGAGTCAACAAACCCCTGATGAAAAGACAACGATTTTTCAGTGCTGGTGTGCCAGCCCTGTGGCACCACGTGTGGAAAAGCACGGGGAAGGATCCCACCCCAGGGAGCTGCTGCCAGCATCGGCCAGCCCGGCTCGCTCCTGGTGTCTGAGGGGGGCTTCCCACAGCCCCTAGGCAGAGCTCAGCATCCCTCCCAGGCTGTGCTGAGCCATGCACACTCTGTGGGCACTGGCAGGACTGTCAGTGCAGGGCTGGAGCTGGGGCAGCAGCAGGAGGAGCAGGATGCAGGCTGTGGAGAGCATCCCTGCCCACAGCCAGGAGCGTGAGCGCTGCAGCCTCGAGCGTTTCTGCAGACCCATGGGCACCATCAGGAGACTCGCCTGTGGAGGAGGATGCTTCCAGAAAAAGTGCCCAGGACCAGGGTTGGTCTGGATGGCTCCACAGGTGAGAGCAGTGGTGGGGGCTGGGGGCAAACAGGGCATAGTCTGTGTCAAAATCAAAGGCTGGGGATGAAAACCAGCTCAATGCCTTTGGATTGGAGTTGTTTTCATGAAACGTCCCTGGATGTTTGCACGCAGGCTCTGTGTTTATTTTGCTGTTGCTTCCTAGGGGGTTAATTCAGCTGCACATTTTGTCTGGTGGTTAAAGGTGAAGATAAGTGAATAGAGATGCCTGAGTCCCAGAGAGCCCTGGTCCCACCTCAGCTGGGATACTGAGTGCCCTGGCCATGCCTTGCTCCCACCTTGTGTACCATTTCCTTCTCCATCTCACCCTTATTGTTTCACCTGACACCTCTCTTGGATCTGCAAACAGATGTGGGAGCCCAGGAAGGTTTATATGAAGTTCCCAGCAAGCTGGCAGCTATTCCATGTCAGTCTGCATAAACCCTGCCTGCGCTGCCAGCTTTTGCTTAATGTCTCCTTGTTTTTCCAGTTGTGAGTGATTGCTGAAGGGATCTCCTGGCAGAGAAGACTCGGGTTCACCCTTCACATCCCGTTCACCTCTAAGGCACACGCATGAAAATCTGGGTGTGGGTCTGCTCCTCTCCATAAAGAGAAATTAAATCTGCTCACGCGGCGCCGGGCGCAGGCAGCAGAGCTGAAGCGTGTGGCTGTTTAATATTCATTGGGCGTAGATGTAAAACTTTTCTGTTCTAAA